AGCAGCATAATATTAATAAGTACATTGAATTGTAATGTGTTCTGACTCGACCCCACAGTCAAACCATTGCAATGGTTTTGTGGGGCTTAAATTATAATAATAATATACTTACCTCTGTGATTTAATAATAAATAAATAAATTAAAAAAATAAATCCAGTAATTTGAGGGCAAGGAATAAAAACAATGTTATTTAAATAAATTTATTAACAATACCAATCTTGAAACCTTAGCTTTTAATAATTTGGGCTAAACGGAGATAAACTCTTGATGCTTCCCTCTCATTTAACATTCCACACATATTGTATTATTTTACATTATAAGAGCATGGCCTCCATGCATTTTACCCTCTAGAGGATTCACTTTATACAATTTAATTCTAACTAATGATTCAGTGACATAACTTTCATTTTGATAAGTATTTGCTGTCATTGACATAGTATAAATGCATATTGTAATGTTGGTAGCATGTGCCTGCACTGGTATCTATGTCCTCACAAACTAGAAACCATATCAAACCACACAAGATGTAGCATGCGAGACTACCCATTGTAACAAGCGAGTTCTCAGCCAAGTGTAGGCACAGTGTCTTCAAATAAACATAAAAGTCCATGAACGCATATCCATAATCAGTAAATGTGAATAAAATAAAATTATATTACATCTTAAAAGATTAAACAATCTTCCCCACGGAATAACATGCAAGGAGCAGAGAGCGCGGCCTCACTGCGGGGGGTTGGGGCCGGGCGGACGCACCTGGCGACGCAACTGCTCCACCAGCTCAGGGTTGGCAGCCTGCATGTGCTGCGCCAGCGCCTGCCCCGCCTCCAGCAGCGCGGACATGCCCCCCGCGCCGCCTGCTTGGCCACCGCCGCCACCGGCGCCGCCGGCGCCGCTCATGAGCCCAGAAATAAGGTTCTGCATGTTGGGGTCTGCCAGCATTTCAGTGGCCATATTTAACAGAGCTGGGTTCTGGAGGAGCCCACCGAGATCTAATGGCGGTCGTTCGCCGTGCGCCGCCAACTGTTCGTCTGCGAGGCGCAGATTCTGGCGATATGACTCGTTTTCAGGCTCCAGTTGCACGGCGCGGGCGTACGCTGCGCGCGCCTCGCGGTGCCGCTCCAGTGCCGTGAGCGCCAGGCCGAGGCGACTGTGCGCCTTGCTGTAGTCCGGCTGCAGGGTCAGCGCAGCTGTGCAGTCGGCCACAGCTCCTTCGTTGTCTCCGAGCTTAAAGTGTGCGGCAGCACGGTTACAGAAGTAAACGGGATTGGTGGGGTCCAGTTCGATGGCGCGTGTGTATTTCTCTAATGCGTCTTGATGGCGGTCACTCTTCATGAACTCATTACCTTCATTTTTAAGCTTCTCAGCCTCAGAGCGTGTGGGAGGCACATTGAGCGACGTAGGACGCACCTGCGCACGAACAAGCTGCAGCAGGTCGACACCACGAGCGGCATCTTCAGGGCCCAGCTCAAAAGCAGTCTCGATGCACTGCACGCCGACTTCGACGCTCTCACGCGAGTCCACGCTGAGCGAGTCACCTTCTAGCTGTCGTTTTAAAAAGTTTACAATACTCGCTGCTACTATTTTTATATCCGACATGATGCAGGAACTACACTATTGTTGGTAAAAACCTGTTAGTATAAGAAACAGTTGGTAATTACTAGTATTTTTAGATTTTTCAACCTATGATGATGACAAAAAGACAATCTGACAGTTGACAAAATGAAAATGACAGTCATGACATAAAAACATAGACAATAATTTGTGACGTTCGTCAAAGTTGTGGTGTGGTAGGTAGTTTTACAAAAAGAAATCTATTATTCTCTGTGATTCGAAGTGCAATATAAATTAGTGTTTGCAAAAATCCCCGCTTTTACTACATGCATATGAATATACATACGATACACATACTAAACACCCTGCTCCAGGTCCACAGGAAGAAATTCCAATAGGAATAGGTGGTACCTTTGTACTTTAATTTTATGTATGTGTTGTCCTTTATGTTGTATGTGTGTACATAAATAAATAAATAAAATAACATTATTTACAATGTTTGTCTGTCATTTTGTACTAATCTCTGAATTGACTGAACCGATTTTGACGGGACTTTTATGGGCAGTTAACTGACGTGGTAAGGAGTAACATAAGCTACTCTTATTTTGGAAAACTGAAACAAAAATGTATTTATGTTCTAAAATTAATATTCTACGTGGACGAAGTAGCGGGTATCAGCTAGTTAACAAAAAAATTATTGCTATTTCACAAAGCAAACTTTTCCGTCGTTTTACAAATATTTTAAAGTAAGCGTCACGTTGTATGTCATTCAGAATCTAAAGATCTGAAGGTTAGTCTTCCGACTGTATGGAAATCTTCTAACAGACACTTTTTATTTTTTTTAAGGGGCGAAAATCATTGAATGGCTTCTCGCGCCTGGATGAGACGGGAGGGATTGTCAGACTCTTCCTGACTACCCCGTTCCTACTCCTGTATTTCGAGCCTAAGCCCCGGTAGCTAGTTAAGTTCTCCGCGGCTCCGTATCGGCATCAGCCCTATTGGGCCCCATGTGTGGTGGTCTGAATGTGACGCGCCGTACGCTCGTCGTCTGGTTCCAATCGGGCGGCGAGCTACCCATGCTCGCCGTCCGCATGCCCGCGCTTACGGTGGAGATCGTCCCGCGATCCCGACGCCCGGAGTATTCTTCGCAACGGCTGAGTTGGGAAGAGGCAGCGCATGACTGCTTCGCAAAAGGAGGAGACGGTATCCCAGTCCTCGTCGCTCCTATAACCGACATTGGAGTCACTCGTAATTCGGTTAATTTTGAAATGTTTGAAGCATTTAGTAGTAACCACCGAAATTTAATTTCCTAAAGGTTTTTGCAATCACAACGTCGACATCGGATACTTATTGGACACCTTCATCGTGGGTGTACTTACGGCGTCGGGCGTCGACGGTCTATTACTTGCCGTCAAGTGATCCGTCAATTTGGCGCCCTGTCCTACAAAGGATGAGAAGTACAAAAACGTTTTTGAAACATATTTTTTATATTTTTTTTTATTTTACACAGACAGTAATAAATAGATAATTGTTGTTGTAAAAAAATAGATAAACTAACAATACTAAAGTAAATCTTTATCTGTTATAATTATTAAATAAAACTGGCCGGATGAACTATGAAAAGGATTGGCCAAAGAAAGCTATAAGAAGAGACGAGTGGAAGGAGGGTAGGGAGGCCTTTGGACTGCAATGGCACAACCATGGCTAAAAATAAATAAATAAAATGTTTATCTTAGTGGAAGTATCATTATGTTAAGGCGATATTTTATGCGTTTGTGCGAGTTAGAACAAGAGGTATCTACTACAGTGTCACACAAACATAAGCATAACCAATGGAGCGTGTTCCATTTTCAATGAAATGATTAATTAATACATTATAGTATTATATTATACAGTAGCTGATGGTCGATTATTTACAAAAAGTGGACTATATGTCGAGGTAGGCGCGGTGCGGGTGCGCGGGCGGCGTGTTGTCGAGCAGACAGACCCAGTCGCGCAGGCGCGGCTCGCGCGCGTACTGGTCCCGCGCCAGCACGCGGCCCGCGCCCGCCTCGCCCGCGCCCAGCACCGCGCCGCCCAGCCACGCGCACGCGTTGGGGGCCGCCGGCGCGTCGTGGAACTTGAACTCGCGCACGTGCAGCGTGTCGCAGTACGGCGGCTGCGTCACCAGGTGGCGCAGCTCGGCCGCCAGGCGCGCGCGCAGCCCCGGCAGCGCCGC